ACCCTGGCGGCTCTCAGGCCTCACACCCAGCAGGTGAGACAGCATCTAACCCACAGCCAGGCGGTGGGGGCCACACTGCTCTGCCGCTTCCAGCACGAGACCCTCCACAGCCGCCAGTTGGAGAGGAGCTGGCCCCGCTGTCCTGCCAGGCCGAGGACCGGCCGCACGATGAGAGGTGCCTCCAGCCTGAACACTCCGACCAGCTCGGGGTCACAGGCAGCCCTGGTTCTAGACCCAGGCCGAGCGTAACCTTCATCGCCAGCTCTCTCACCCACTCTGGTCCCAGTGCCAGAGTGAGCCAGTGACTGGGCGGGGGCTCCGGCGCCAGCGTGGGGACCAGGCCCCATGCCAGTTCCACAGCCCAGTGCCACCCCGCCCCGGGCATCCGCACCAGAGCTACACCCAGCACCAGCGCTCCCCTCTTCCCTGGGGATGACAACTTTTTTTTTCAAATTTTCTCGAAAATTTCATTTCTTTTATGGTTTATTAGATTTTGTTTTAAAATTTAATGTAGTAAATATTTCCCTTTTAATCATCTTAAATTATACCATTCAATGGCATTCCGTAAGCTCAACATGCACCCATCACTGCTGTCTATTTCTAGGATGCTTTGATCATGCCGAGCAGAAATTCTGTGCATTAGTACAGACACAGGGACTCAGCCAGGCACCCGGGCCTGCTTCTAGCCTTGGGGGATTCCAGAGACTCTGTCCCGGAGCCGGGGACACTTGGCCCTTTCCCTGGGTGCAGAGCAGGAGCCCTGGCGCCCGGAAGGGCCCCCGCCCCCATCCCCTCCTCCCCACCGACCCCACCACCGGCTCCTCTTTGTTTCCGTGCACTTCCTCCTCCCTGGCCTGTGGCCCACAGCTGGCTGTTCCTCCATCCCGCCAACCCTGACCAGAGCTAACGATCCCTGACCTGTGCTGCGCCAGGAACCCTCCTGCCAACTGCGACTCTGTCCTGAAGACGTGGACTTTCACCCTGGGGAGGAAGATCTGGCGTGGGGCTTACAATTGCAAAAGACACCTTCTGATGGGTCCCAGCACAGGGCTGCGTCCCCCAGGTCCTGCTGGCCAGGAAGCGAAGCGTCTACGCACTGCAGTGTCCCACACCAGCTGGGCATCTTCTGTCCAACCGGCCAGCCCAGGCCGTTGGGGACGTGCAGTAATGGCCAGCTGGGAGCCCTTGGTGCATCGAGCACGTGCGTGGCAAAGCAGGGCCTCTTGCCCGCGCCACCCATGGGCCCGTGTGCGCGCCAGGCGGTGGACTTGGACGTGAGGCAGGCTGCCGCATGCTGAGTCCGCATGTGGGAGGGAAGTCCCTGCGCCCCTGAGCGCATCCTACACCCCCGAGGGCCTGGGGGCCAGGAGCCTGGGCCATGTCCACACACGGCGGGGCTCATGCCATTTCGTGTCCATCTCCTCCTGGGACAATTGGGAAGCTGAGGCCAGGATGTCAGGGACTGGCAAGGGCCCTAAAGGGGGACAGAGTCCAGAGGAGAAGGGAGGGTTCAGTACTCCCAGGCAAGGGCTCACCCTCTGGTAGGCTGTGCCTTGGGAAGGAGAGCCCCTAAGATCCTTCCATGTGGGGCCCTTTCTTCTGGGCGACCACACGTCTTCTTCCCATCCATCCACAGGCTTAGTGTGCAGGGGACACTTCTGTGGTGTTTAAGTGTCACCCGTGGACTGGAGCGACGAGGTAGATGACATAGTTAACACATTTTGGATGGCATGAGATTATTTTTACAGCACACAAAACTTTTTTTAATTTTCAAGAACGGTTCACACATTAAAGCAGTGTGAGAAAGGGCACTTTTGTTATTTCTTTTCAACAGGCCGAAAATGTAGGGCTAACTTTTTGTTTTAATAGACATCATTTTAGAAGTGATTATTTAATTGTTGATTATTTATACAGAGAAAATTCACAAACTGTACATCAAGTAGCTTACTATTTAGAATGTGCTTGATCTGAGCTTGGGAACTGTTTTGTGACTCTGGAGAGATGGGTTTGTTTATTTAGAAAGCACGACTGAGGAAAGACAATTGTATGATAAAAAAATTAGTTATCTATAAGTTGCCAGTGTTCTAAGGATTTCCATCTTGGCGAACCCCAAGTGGACCTCATCGTTTGGGTCTCCTGCCCTCTAGTGGTCATTTCTCAAAATGCAGACAAAGCTGCCTGAAGGCGAACCGTTTGAAACAGGACAACCCAAGGTGTGGGGCTCATGCTGGGAATTTTGGAGATGCGAGGAACCTGAGAAATTTTCTCACTTGCTTTCCTCATTTTTGCAACATAATCACCATGTCTCTATTACATACTCCCCAGTGATTACTGACATAACATGGATTTCTGGCTTCTCTTGACTATTTGACTTAGCAAATTATCCAAAGATACTTTTCTGTAAAAATTCTACACATACACGATAATCTTAGATCTTAAAACTACCTGCATAAAGGGCGTTTTGAAAATAAATAAACACTTTAAAATGTACTTACACTGTCTCCTACTAGCAGGTATGCTCTTTATGTATTGTGTTTTTCATCCCTTATTATCACCCCATATACCTTGTGGTGTGTACACTGAATTATTCCGATTTCATGAGGAAATAAAGTGCTACCAAGGGGGTCAGACTTAGCAACTGGTACACCCTGGACCTGAAAGATGAATTCCGCTCTGTAACTTTCCTTCTTTTTAAAATCTATATAGTAATCAATTTTGAATTGATTTTAAATTATTTAACCAGATTAAGTTGGTAATGTTTTAATATATTTGTATGTTTAAAGCAACACTTGGGTCTCATATTTCCTTATATACTAAGGCATGCCAGCCTCAAAGATCTAGCTTCTTCTATAAAGTTTGAGAACCAGGTCCCATGATCTTAGAGAATGTGAGTTTTTAGAAAGCCTGAAAAGAGGTTTTTTCATTTTCTTAACTGAATAATTTAGAAGCAAAAACTAGCTCTCAGTGCCCCTGTTATGGCAGCTGCACACAGGTGCTTCATGGGCTAAGATGGATGATTTCGGATAAGACTGACAGTTAACTTCAAAAAGATTCCATTGCTATGGAGCTGCAGACGAAACTTTTTTGAGTCCTTTGCCTAAAATAGCTGCACCAAAACAATCCCCTGTGCGTGCCCCCGACAGCCAGATCTAAGTCAGCTCACTTCTGATCGCGCTGCTGGCGTCTGCAGACAGGCCACCCTGGTCACTCTGGCCCCTAACAACTTTCCCTCCGCTGAATTTCCCGATCTGCTTTGTGCTGCTTGGACAGCACTGACGTCACACGTAGGAACAACGGCACAATATCCCTCAAGAACCAAAGAAAGAAAATCTTCCTCTGAGAGTTCAGCACATTAACTCCATGTATAACAAGGTTAGCTGCTTATAAAATAACCAGAACAAAAAGGTTGACTCTCCCCTGCGTAAGGAAGGAATTCCTCCTGCCTGATGGCCTTGGAGCTGGGACAGTGGTCTTCACCTGCCTTCTGACTTGGACTGACTGAAAGTGGTACCACCCTGGGCCTCCGGCCTTATCTCCTGGGTCTCCAGGTTGTTGACGATGTTGGGACTCCTCAGCCTCCATAACCATGTGAACCAATTCCTTATAATGATTTTATATATATAATATATACATATATATAAAATACATACATATATATATATACATATCATATATAAAACTCTCATGTGCTATAAGCTCCCAAGAGTGAGGAAATGCATGTTATCCTTCCGTTACATATTCAGCACTTAACAATTCTGCTGCAGTGCAGGCTTCCCAAGTTAAGCATGTGTTTATTGGAAAGAAGTGTCCACAGAGCAGGGGTTTGCCCTTACTCTCTTCACACCACACTGTCTGGGAAAGAAAGGGACCGTATCTTGGGGGAAGAGGAAGCATTCATTTATTTATCAGTCACTTACTATGCGTGCAGTATGTAGTATGAAACAGACCTTCTGCTAGGTGAGAAAATACAGAGGTAAAACACAGAACTCCTGCCCTCACGGGCCTCACACTTCTTAGGACGACAAGTAAAACCTAGGGAGATAAAATCCTAATTAACAGGGTGACTTTCATATTAATCTTAAAGGAGTGTGGGCCTAATAATGGAGCTTCAAGACATATAAATCCAAAGCTGACAGAACTGGAAAGGGAAAGAGATCCACAATCACGGAGATTTCGACACGCCGTCAGTAACCGATAGAAAGAGACAGACAGGAACAGAGAGGCAGCGGCCGCAACAAAGCAGAGCACACCTCCCTTTCGGGCGCCGCTCCGTTCTCCACGGGACCCTATTCTGGCCTACAGCCCACGTCTGAACA